CGCCCAGGCCCAGAGTTCAAGCCCCACAACCGACCAAAAAAAAATGTTTAAAAGGTAACATGCAATTTATTCATAGGACACTTTCATTACTCTGGATATCTGTAAGAAAACACTGTATTATAGAATGTGGCATTTTTATTCTACTTTTAAAAGCTGCAAATTTAAGTAATGGAAAATATAATTTTCTCTCTGGTTGAACAATTAAACCTCAAACTTGACTTTCTCTGAAATTCACTCAACAGAGAAGAGTCCAAAAAATTACAGCCAGCATCCATCTAACAGCTCTCTTGTTGAGACAGTAAAAGCCGCTGTGGGAAGGTGGTTTTATCACGAGTTAAGAAGGGCGAGTGGCTCACTGTCAGAATCGTGCACGGGCCATGCGCAGTGAAGTAGACGCAGAATCATTTAGGTTTTTATTTGGAATGTAGTCGACCTCACACATGCTGGGCCAAGCACTTCCATGGGCTGCGCTCTAAGCCCAAAAACAGTAAGTTGTGAAACACAAAGTTCAACCTAGAAAGCTAAGAAAACTTTTCTTGCCAGCATGGAAGTATAAGAAAACACACATCCAGGGGGCTTATAGTCTTTCTAAAGTTGGAGTAAAGAAAAAACTTCGCTAAATGTTGTTCTAAAATACATTTTATTTCACTTATTAAAGATGCCATAGTTATTGAAGAATGGCTCCATAGAAACCAACACACTACAAACATGGGCTTTTGGGAACAAACTTACGCCTTTGAAAACGGCTGATAATTCATGATGATGTAGATCGTTGTCCTTTTGTGTTGATCATACAGGTTGCTCCCAGCTCAGACAGAGCAGTGAGGGCCAGCTTTGTTAGGTCTGTCCACTGCATGGGGACAGACAGACAGCCAGAGTCCCTCTGTGCACAGTAGCGTGGCAGCAGGTGGCGGAGCAACGTGCAAAGTACTGTCCAGCCCCAGCCAGGGGCTCCACCTGTGAGCACGACTGGCCGCTCCGCTACTCAGGCTGTGTCCACAGCCTGGTCTCACCGGGGTCCTCCTCTGGGACCTGTCCACACACACCAGGCCAAGGGACAGCTCCGCCCCCAGGGGTGGCCGTCAGACAAGGCACGGGGACCAGGGGTGGCCGTCAGACAAGGTGCGGGGACCAGGGGTGGCCGTCAGACAGGGGGCGGGGACCAGGGGTGGCCGTCAGACAGGGGGCGGGGACCAGGGGTGGCCGTCAGACAGGGTCAGGGACCAGGGGTGGCCATCAGACAGGGGGCGGGGACCAGGGGTGGCCGTCAGACAGGGGGCGGGGACCAGGGGTGGCCGTCAGACAGGGGGCGGGGACCAGGGTGGCAGCACTGGGAAATGCAGGGCAGCAGGGCCGGCACTGGCGGAGCTTTCCTGCAGATCCCTGTGCTTTCCTGCAGATCCCTGAGCTTTCCTGCAGATCCCTGTGCTTTCCTGCGCCCCCCCTCCTGCCCCCCCCGCCCCGCGCCCTGGGCCCTGGGCTCTGCGTGGACTGGAATGGGTGCCCAGGGGCCGTGGGTCTCAGGCCCTGTCCCAGGCCCACCTGGCACTGAACTGAAGCACAGACTGGGATCTGAATGAGTCCTTTACACGCCCATCCCTGTGTGTACGTCAGAAAGTCTGTGACCAGTCTCCCCGGACTCTGATGATCTCAAGGGCTCATCTGGCCAGGATGAGAGTGAGCTTTCGACTCACATCAAAGCTCACAGCAGCGGCTGAAGCAGCTGTACCTTCCTCTTTGACAACAGCGATTGTAAGTTGGAGGACAGAGCACATTCTTGACTGTCACCGATTCCAGCAGACGTGTGCATGGCAGAGCTGGAGAGGCAGCGCAGGCTTGCTAGACGCCTGTTTTCTGGTATGGCAAAGGCAGTTTTTCATAGTTCCAATGAAACAAATACATAGACTTTTTCTCCAGTGTGTATGTTAAGCAGTCGAGCAGGATGGGAGTAAATCTGTGGACTCCAGCCAGCCCAGCATGGTCTTTCTTTGAAAGTGCCACATCGGCTGGAGCAGGTGTTTGAAGAACCACAGGCTCAGACCACAGGTATTGCAGGCAATATTGTCTCTGCCACATGGACTCAGTCTGCTTCTGGAGCACGGCAATCATCGGCAATATGGAAATAAGTGTCTGCGCCTCTCTGCCAGCAGAACATCACTTATTCGTGGGGTCTGGCCGCACTGGCCGAGTGTGGGAGGAGGCCACAGGTTTCCAGCCCCTGACCTACATTGACCTGTGCGCTGAGCATCAAGGACAGCTCCCATGTTTAGTTTCTTCATATACCCTACAATCCCACATTGAAATAAACACAGACACGAGTCCCCAGTAGTGAAGAGACAATCCACTCTGTGTCGTCAAGTAGAGAATGTATTAACCGTGTCCTGGTGAAGTTATCCTCAGAACCAACCCTACCATGCAGGTACAGGGTGTCCAAGACTGGTGTGCTGTGGACTCTCTGCCTATATCGAAGATCATTGTCCTTGGCTTTACAGTGAAAGTCGGTAATGTTTTCAGTTTCTTTGTGATCTCTGTAAACTAGTTCTTAGATGGCTTGAACACTCAGCTCTGAGCAGTGGCCCTGAGATGTTGGGTTGGTACCCACCGCACCTCCTACAGCTGTCCATGGTGGTCTTCCTCACCTCTACAGCTGTCCATGGTAGTGTTCCTCACCTCCTACAGCTGTCCATGGTGGTGTTCCTCACCTCTACAGCTGTCCATGGTGGTGTTCCTG